TTCTTGGCTATATGGATGATTATCTTGTTCTTCCTCTAGGAAGTTACACAAATAAAAGCAGGTGTTTTTTTCTACTTGACTTTCTGCAAAGCTGACTTAAGTTTACTGTAATACTGCTGAAAGATGAGAGAACGGGGTAAACAGCCTCATTAGCTCCCAGGCAACGCTTGGATTTTTAGGTCATGTTAGCTTCCTGAACATGGATAAGCTATTGTTCTTCCCTTTCCAGGATGGGCAGATAAACTATACTTCAAATATTTATCCTATCCTCCTTATCTTGCCCACTCTAATAAGAAACTTGGTTGTGGTGTCATTTCCAATGAAATGCCAAATATAGAATCATTTCAATTTAAAGAGATAGATACTACTGAATGAGAAGACTCCTTTCAAATGAAAATCCTAAACATTTTAGGAGAAATGCATGCTTCTCGTATGTTGGCAGCATTCCAGAACCCAACTGCTCCTAGGTGCCTCCCACTCTTCAGTGGCAGTTCAGTGATTTCTTCAATAAGCGGAAGTAACAGCAGATACATTATACAGTGATAATCTGTTTTTCTTAGCAATTGAAATTAAAATATGCTTAACATATGCAATCACAATTTTCAAAGTTTGATTAAAGTTATTACTTACTAAAATAATACCCTAAGATTGACTAGAATTGTGACTCTGGCATCACAAAGCGGAAACTAGAAACTGGAACTGGTGAAATTCACCAGTTTTATATATATATATATATATATATGTACATAAAATGCTGGCATACATATGTAATTTAGTATATATAATTTGTGGGTTGCCTGTCTCACAAGAGAGATATAAGCATGGTTTAAAAGTTGTGGAGATGTTTTTAAACTAAAAAGCTAAATTATTTGAACTTAAAGTAAACTTGAAGTGCTTTGATGAACAGAAAAATGACGCACAGCAGTTAATGTAAAAACTTCTCATTTTAGTTTTATTCTAAACTAACAATTTTAAAACTGACTTGAAGCAATTCCATTGCTTATTTTGAAGCATCTACCTCGCTCTTGGCAAGTAACTAGCCAGCACCAACCAACATGCTACTACATGCTGATGAGGGTTGCCTCACAAACTAAAAGGCAGATGCCAGAGGGCACGAGTGTGGAAATACAGTTGTCTGTCAATTCAGTGATCTTCCTTATTTCTGCTCCTTAGCAGCAGGCAAGATAAGAAATGAACACAAAATATCATTAACGATCTAGTCGTATTCCAGATGTCACGAAAAAAATCTCAAACCCTATATTCCTTGGAAAATTAAGACTGAGGTCACAGATGTGTAAAATAACTTGATTATTGTATGTTTGAGGGCCCATGATTTTAAAAAATTTTTTCATTTTTAAAGAATTTTAAAATAGCCTAAAGTAAAGTTTTATGTATATAAAAGAGTTTTGCAAACATTTTTCATGAACTACTTTACAGAAAAAAAGGGAGGGGAGTGAATATCCACTTTTTCTTCCCCTCAAAATCCTTTTAAGTCTTAAGTTTCTTACCCACTTTAAAATATAAATCGAATTAGCAAGATTGGAATTATACAAGTGTATCCACTAGTAAAGCTGCATTTGATTAAAACCATTTTCAATAATTTTCTCAGTCCTATTAAAACTCTTGTTTATCTGTACAATGCACTATTTGAATTAGTGTGTAGTGTATGTCTCATTCCAAAAAGTATTATAAAATCCGAAGGCATATATGACAAATTATTGTTTTGAAATTGAACTAAACAGATTTTTCCATAAATATCTCAAATCATGGTCTCTGAGAATGGCTCAGAATTTCTGGTCATCTGGTTCTATTTCTCCTTATATGGTAACTACTCCGATCAGCCATCTCCCAGACTGTATTTGAAGACATTCACTGGCAGAAAACTCACTGCTCTCCATGGCATGAATAATGCAATGATTTGAGCATTTAGTAGTCGATAGTCACTGTGTTAAAGTGCTTTTCTAATATTATCACAAAATAATTCTAAGGTATTAATATCCAGATGCAGATAGGAAACTAAATGTCGATGGAGACGAAGCGATTGTGTTGGGTCAGCTGGCACAGAGTTGGTATCTTTAGACACTGCACTATGCTGTGGCACGCTTACTCTCAGTTTATATTTTTCTCCCTATGGTCTAAGACAGCCATCACAAAGTTTTTTTCCCCCTAAACATTTATGTTTTCAACATTCTTATATTCTCATTACCCTTCTGGTTACCTTTTCCAGAATGTACACAAAGCAAGCTTTGTGACTGTGGGAAATGGAAGTAATCTTTTTCCCACTTATTTTTTGTGGAGACGGGGTCTCCTTATGTTGCCCAGGCTGGTCTTCAACACCTGGCCTCAAGTGATCCTCCTGCCTCAGCCTCCTAAAGTACTCGGATTACAGGTATGTGCCACCACACCCAGCGCTTCCACTTAATTTTGTTCTAAAAAAGCATTAATTTATGGGAATTCAAATAATATGAAAATATTGCAAGATCAATAAATACTAGTTCCTCCCTATCCCCTTCCTCAAATTCAACTCTATATTGTTAATTAGAAACTTGTTGTGTCCTACTATATTTTTTCTATTCCTGTATATATTTTCATAGACGTGTGTAGATGCACATATACATATATCCTACATATATATATATATATATATGCAGGCAATCTTTCTGAACAATTCTGATAGGCACACTTTCAGTTACATGGTTTAAATAACATCAGTTCCCAAATGACACAGTTCAAATTTCATTTCCATGGCATATTAGCTGTAATTACTAAGTACAAACTTCACTGTTAGCTCTTCAGCCCACAACTCACTAACAGTAGGTGTGCCCCTAACTAATGATGTCACTTATCTCAAAATCCATTAGTGACTGGTCACTGTGTATCTGTTATGCACAGACAGCAATGTGTGTAGTTGTATTGCCTTTTTGTGTCACAGTGACAGAGGCACATGGCATTTTACAGAACTGGAGAGTTAAAATAGGGAACTGGCCAACAGAGATGAAAAATACAGCAAAGAAATGCAAAGCAGTAACACTGGAAATAACATTTGGGCTGGCTGTGGGAACGCTGATACTGTGCTCGTTGATAGACTCTAGGTAAGAAGCCAGAGACACTTAGTGAAAGCGGACTTAACATTTATCAACATAAAGGAGGAAACTGGTTGTAATGAAAAGATGATGTCCCAATGGAAGTAATGCTGGCATAAATACCTCACATCAAAGAACTCTTAAAGTATTTTACAAGGTTGAAAGGAGTTTAACAATTTGTCAAGGCATAGAAAAGATACTTGCTCTGTATTGCAAATTAGGAGATGCAGGCAAGCACTGTTCAAAAGCTCTTGGTAAATTTTTTGACAAAAACTTGAACTCTCAATATTTGCAATGTTTTAAATTATGTTATACTAAATACTAGCTTTACATCTTTCATTTCCCCATTCATTTATAATTGACAGAGAGCTTTTAATATTTTCACTAATGTTTTTAGAGGTCATGAAACAATCAACTGCTCCTCTAATGATCACTGAGATTGCTTTGCACAGCTTCAGCTTGCGAGGTCATTTTTATGGTCCTATATTACTGTGCAAAGCAAAGAGGGTTTGTAGATGTACACATGTGCATGTGTATAGAGCTAGTTTTTAAAACTAAGATTTACATTTATTCAGAAACTTGTTTTTCACATTATGAGTACAAGTAGATGTCTGATTATTTCTAATGGCTGCATTATATTCCACAGTATGGACAGACCATTGTTTACTTAAAAAAAAATGTTCCTATTGAGATATTTAGGTTTTCAGTTTTTCACTATCACAATGTTGACACATTTTCGTGCACATGAAGCAAGTATTCTACTAAATCAATTTCTACAAGTGCAACTACCGGATCAGTGAGAAAAACGTTCAGCTTCACTGGTGGTCGTGGCAATACAAATCAACACGATGACACACCATCTGATATCTAAAGGGCAAAAATTCAAGTCTGACAATATAATAAAGAGAACGTGGATCCACTGGCTGTCATGTACTTTGCCAGTGGGAGTATAATTGGTAGAATCATTTTGGAAAACAGAAACCTACATGGCCTCTGCACTGCCCGCAGGTGGGCATGCATGACTGGGCTTCTCTCACCATTCACGTTCATTTGTAAGGCCTGGACTCTCCTATTTACCTTGCTACGGCGTTTATCCTTTTTGTTTTATTCATTTTCCTGTCTCTCTTCCCAACTACAACACAAGTTTTAGAGCAGAGACCTTGTCTAATTTGTTCATCACTGGGCCTGAAATACAGCACAAAACAGGTGCTCAATAGATAGCTGAATGAATGCATTTGCATTTCCTGATTTGGTGGGACTGAACATGTTTCATTATTTTCTCTTTTGTAAATTGCATGCTCATATTCTTTGCCAATTTTCCAAGTGGGACGTCTTCCTCTGATTATAAGAGCTCTTCAGATACTACACATAGTAATCCTCTATTTTGTGTCTCAAAAATATTTTCGCTGTTTGCATTTCCTTTTTTCAGTTCTGTTCTCTTTCATTATATAGATGCTTAAAATTTTTATGTAGTCACACAAGTCAACTTTTCCAATCATTGCTTTTGGGCTTTCGGTCACTCTCAGGAATGCCATCCTCACCTCAACACTATAGGTAATCTCCTTTATCTTCTTCTGGCATTTCTGTAATTTTATTTTTTGTGTTATGTCATTAATTCCTTTCAAATTCAGTGTGCACAGTGTTAGGCAGAGATCTATTTTTTGCTGTTCTTTTCAAATGTTCCCAATGTCATTTATTGAATAGACTACTCTTTCCAATATATATTAAAAACCTCTACAGTAATTATGATTGCACGATTTGATCTTGAGGTATCTGCTTGCAGTTAAAAAAATTTTTTTTAACCTAAGTATCATGCTTTCCATTTCCCCAAAAGCTCAAATAAATCATGGCTTACAGGTTTCTAAGTAGTAGAGTTACCTTATGATACACTTAGAAAGCACATTAAAACGGTAACAGTTTTAGAGAGAAAATATTTAATCTATTTCACAAAAAAATGTACAAAGCTTTAGAAAAGAGGCATTAGGTTTCCATGTACAGTATAAACACATTCTCACCTTCTTCTATGATCACTTGTATTACACTGCTCTTGGCCAGTAAAGAAGGCCACTGCACTCCCATTCCAAACAATCTTCTGTTAACACATGCACTTGAAAAAGTCACTGAAAAGTACAGTCTTGAAATAAATGTAGAAATATAATGTTGTACAAAAATATATTAATCTGTTTACATGAAATCCTTAAAAATGCACACCAAGTACATTCTTTTAGAACTAGATTATGTCTAGATACATCAATATATGAACGTGTAAATTGGATTTTTACTGCATTTTTAATCACTGGAGAAAAAAACATAATCAAGCCTTTGGAATGACAGACATGAAGTCAGCATAGCAGACCAACTCTATTTTGAGAAATAAAACCATAAACTTTATCCATACAAAAGATGGGAAAGAATTTCTAAAACTGACATATTTATGAAATGTTATAACTTGAAACTGTAATCACACAGCAAACTTTCATTTGTTCATAGTCCACAAGTAAAGAAATGACCACTGCAACATTTCTAAACTGTTTCTCAATGCATCTTAGCAGTAAGAATTCAAATGTAAAAAAAAAATAGCCTATGAAAATATAATTAGGAAGGTATACCTCAAAATAGAAAAAATTAATTGGAACTCACTAAGGTACTGTTCCCCTCCTTTGAAAACTGAGCTATTACAATGAGAAATGCTAGGGGAAAAAAACTACAGAAAAAATTGTTCTGCCGTATCTGTTTATATAAACCAATTTCTCACTGAAACTTCTACAGAAACTACTATTGTTTTTAGTAACAGGGAGGCCTAAGGTGTGGAGAGGAAGTGGTGGTTTATTTTGTTACAGGTGTATTTTGATGATGAATATCACAGGCATGCATGAACAATATATTTCAACTCTATATAAACAAAAATGTGTTAGCATTTTGAAAAGTATAATAAATACAACAGGTAGCCTATCCTGTACATGCTCGAAGAATGAGTGTTTCCAGTGACACTAAGAATGACCACAAATTCCAAAAACAGAAGACAGTTGCATGGCAGAGTCCTTTTAAATTTTCAGAGGAATAAATTTTAGAGGAATACCTGTTTTTCCCCCATTAATTAGCATAATTTATCACTAATGTTTTGCCCTAGTTATCTCAACATATATTTTCCATGATCTTAGCACACATTAGATAAAGGAATAACAGGCCAGGAGTGGTGGCTCAGGCTTGTGATCCCAGCACAGGGGGACGGTGGCTTGAAGCCAGGAGTTTGAGACCAATCTCGGCAACATGGCAAGACCCCATCTCTACAAAAAAATTAGCCAGGAGTAGTGGCACACACCTGTGGTCTTAGCTGCTCAGGAGGCTGAAGCAGGAGGACCTCCAGGTCCCAGTAGTTCCAGGCTGCAGTGAGCTATGATCACGTCACTGCTGCACTCTAGCCTGGGTGACAGAGCAAAACCCTGTCTCTTTAAAAAAAAAAAGGTGGAGGGGAGGAAAAGAAAACTATTTAAATTGGGCACATTTAAAACTGAGAGTTGATTTTCTCTACTTCTCAGCATCAGTTTATGAGGTCTCCTTTCATTTTATTTCAGATAGAGATGCATAACCAAGTATATTAAAAGCAAAAGGTAGTAAACTATGTCCACATTACTCACACTTTCGAGTTTTCTACATTAAAGAATAACTATTTGCTTAATTCTGTATTACTTAAAGTCACTAGGCCTGTAAACTACTGCTTAAAGAGGAAGGAACTCATACCATGCTCTGACAGTTACAAGAATGCTTTTTGGTATAACGCTGTTTAGTGTTCGTTTGTGCTTGTTTAGTGCTTTTTAGTATTATGGCGGCTTGTATAGGTAGGAAAGCATGTTTGCAAATGCTTGCAATACTTTCCTTTTGGTCCTGGGGCTTTAACAGAACAAAATGTCCTTTGGTACACTTGAAAGGGAGGACATGCCAGTGAAGAGGCACACACCAAAACAACCAGGCAAACATTCCACAAGTGTCTAGGGTTTTCACTTTTCAACCCCAACCTTTGAAAAAAGTGAAACCAAACCAACACACTCAGAAATGGGTGGGGTGCAATCAGAAAAGCCGAGTGGGGCTGTCTCCTGTTCCACCTTACCCAGGCTCTGTGACTGGGGGAGCCTTCCGCAAGCCAGAGGCAGGCAGGTAAACCTGCAGGGCTCATATGTGAAGGGGCCAGAGTTCGTTAGTCACGGAATACAAATAGGTAGATTAGTAAAGCCTCTGACTTTTAATACTATTCTTTATATTATTCGATTGCAAAGAAATGGGAGAAAAGCAAACTCTTAGCTATTCAGGACAAAAATAGTGACATGATTATTGTTAATACTTCATTTAAATAAACTGTGCCACAGGGAGAAGAAAAGGTAATCTTGGAGACTAACAGTGAATTCTACTTTTAAAATATGACACTATTATTTCTTAAGCTGATGTACATTTCCTTATGGATTTCAAAAGAGGGATTTTATAAGAAAATTAACATATTCCTTACTGCACCATAATACTACTTAGCACACTAAGAATGAAGAGTTTGCATTCTGTGTTTAGATGATCATGAATCATAATCGTTGGTACGTAGCATTCTGCTTAATTCCTTTAAATAGTACCTAGTTCGCTGGGTGCAGTGGCTCATGCCTGTAATCCCAGCACTTTGGGAGTCCAAGGCAGGTGGATCACTTGAAGTCATGAGTTTGAGACCAGCATGGCCAACATGTCGAAACCCCATCTCCACTAAAACTACAAAAAATTAGCCAGGCATGGTAGCGGGCACCTGTAATCCCAGCTACTGAGGAGGCTGAGGCAGAACAATTGCGTGAACCCAGGAGGCGGAGGCTGCATTGAGCCGAGATGGTGCCACCGCACTCCAATCTGGGCAACAAGAGCAAAACTCCATTTCAAAAAAAAAAAGTACCTAATGCTAGGCTGGGTGTGGTGGCTCATGCCTGTAATTCCAGCACTTTGGGAGGCCAAGGCAGGTGTATCACTTGAGGTCAGGAGTTCGAGACCAGCCTGGCCAATATGGTAAAACCCCATCTCTACTAAAAATATAAAAATTAGCCAGGTGTTGTGGTGGGCACCTGTGGTGGTTAGCACCAGCTACTTGGAAGGCTGAGGCAGAAGAATCACTTGAACCTGGGAGCAGAGGTTGCAGTAAGCTGAGATTGTACCACTGCACTTCAGCCTGGGTGACAGAGTGAGACTTCATGTCAAAAAAAAAAAAAGGTACCTAATGCTGGAATAAGTTGACCATGGTGAAAACTTTACCATAACACAATTGTATATATTAATATTTGAGTAATGGGGAGGGGTCTACATACCAATGTCATTTATGAAACAAGGAAGCAGAAGACTATATTTCTAGAGCTCACTTGGACTAATATTTAATACAACAACATTTTCTTAAATATGAATAAGCTTCTTAGGGTTTGAGATAGTCCTGTGCATAAGGCTCTTTATAAGGTCTTAATTACCTTTCGAAGATCAACCATTAGAACTTCTGAAACAACTTTTGAAACAGCACTGTTAGAACTAACATTGGAAAGCTTTTTCTTTAATACATCTATCTGCCAAGAAAAATTCAGGATAGTATCTGAAATTAAGAACGAGTGGTACACAAAATCTTTTGACCAACAATTATAGACTGTTTCAAGGTCTGAATAAGAGTATATAATGCAAAGCTGCATAATTAAATGGATTTATTTAAATTGCACAATCATTGCTAGGACTTTTGGGGTTCTTTGGATTAAGTTACTATTAATATATAAAGTTACGAAAGATTTACATTTTAAGAAAACCTACTTTGAGAGGCAATACAGCAGGGAGTTGAGGAGACTCCCATCCAGGCCCTGCCACTCCCTAAATTTGTGATTTTGGTTACGCTGGTGTATCTGATCATGCTTACCCTCTCTGTGTGTTTCCTCACCAATCAAACAAGGAAAAATGGTAATTGTCACATAAGGTTGTTGTGTAAAGTAAATGAGTTAATATATAAAAGCACCTAATAGAAAACGGCTGGCAAACAGTAAGAACTCAGTAAATATCTATTATTCTTATTACTTTATTTGAAGGCTTAAGAAAGTGTCCGTGGAAGAACTCTTAATTTAGCAGTTTGTTCTCCCTCTGCATCTTGGAGAAGAGTTAGAAATGAGGAGACCTGTGCCTGAATAAAGGCTCCACCAGTCACTATTTCCCCTTGTTTGATAGAATTGAACATCTGCTGGCGCCAGGCACCACTTTAGGCATCGAGCACTATTCTGGGAGTTTTCTGACCTTCAGATATGTTACCCCTATTCCAAAGCTATCTCCTTCTTTGTAAACTAACATCTACCTGCCCGATTTGTAAGGTTATTTGAAGCTCAAATGAGGCAATATACATGAAAACATTCTGAAGATTTGGTAAAGCCCCATCGAGTGAAACTTTTTGGTTAAGATATAAGTACTCTGGTGCAAGTTGTTGGGCACATGTTGTAGGAATGTGGTTCGGGATGAGTATGTCTGGACCCTCTCAAAGCAACTTTATTACCCATAGTTCCAGAAAGTCTTTAAACATTTTTTAGGTTGGACATGGTGGCTCACACCTCTAATCCCAGCACTTTGGGAGGCCGAGGTGGGAGGATCATGCAGTCAGGAGATAAAGACCATCCTGGCTAACGTGGTGAAACCCTGTCTCTACTAAAAATACAAAAAATTAGCTGGATGTGGTGGCACGTGCCTGTAGTCCCAGCTATTCAGGAGGCAGAGGCAGGAGAAACGCTTAAACCTGGGAGGCAGAGGTTGCAGTGACCCAAGATAGCGCCACTGTACTCCAGCCTGGGTGACAGAGCGAGACTCCATCTCAAATTAAAAAAAAAAATTTATTAACACTATAGACATGCTTCTTTGTAATTACAATGTTGTTTACAAAATAGTCATATGCTTCATTATAAAACCATATTCTCTTTTGAACCCAACTCTATGGAGAATATTAACATAACCAACAGTTGGTGGGAGGAAGATTTTCCTTGACAAATTGCAGTTGCAAAGAAAATGTAAGGTGATATTTGTTTGTGGTCACAAATTATCATTATAGTAACTAAGCCAATAATGATCAGTTTCACTAATTACTAAGTGCTTTACACACAATATTTCATTAAATACTTCCATGAGGCAGGTATACTAGCCCCATTTTAAAAGATTAGAATCCAAATTACTGCAAAATCCAAGCTCTCAACCACTATACTACGCTAGGCAATAAAAATACCAGAACAAAAAAGCCATGACTATTTCTATCTTCACAAAATCACATACTTAAGAGAACTGTAGATTAACGGACTCAAAACAATGTTCTGAGTGCTTAAAATTCAGTTAACTTTAAATCTTTAAACTTTATGGGTTTTCCCCCACCGTGATTTTAAAAATAAGACTGCTTACTGAAAACAAACAAACAAAAACAACTCAGCAAAGTAGAATTAAAATTAAAACATCCATTATTTCATCATTCACAAGAACCATTATTGACATTTTCCCTCTGCATATATGTTTATGTAACTTTGAACTATAGAATTTAGGTAGATTTTGATGACTTGTTAAACACGATGCCAAACAGAACTATCGTACTTTTAATTGGTAGACATAAATTAATAGTAAACTTTGTGCAGGCAGAAAATTATTACACTAGAGAGATATGTATTTTCTATCTTCCTAAATTTTCCAACTATAGAAAAACAAGGAAAGAGTAATTTATCTCAGTTGTATAAGCTCAAAAGTTTACTGGCCAGAAGAGAATCATGAGTAATTCTTAATCTTTGTGTTATGTACACACACACCTATATAAATATACATATACTAAACTTTTATTCTGGCTGTGTTGAGATTTATAGCTTTCTGAAGGTTTGACAATACTATAACTAATATTATTAGATCAGTTAAGAAAAAAAATACTTTTCATAGTCACTGAATTTTGCCAAAGTTACACTTATAGGTGATTAAACTACAGAGTTTTCCCTTGTTAAATATTTGCTTAAGACAGAATATTTAAGGTAAGTTAAACTCTTTAGAGGAATCATATCAAAAATTTCTACCAATTGTAGAATAAAGAGAAGAGGAAAAAAATAGGGACAAATCAGCAGAATAATTTAGGACAAAGATTCCAGGTATTATATAAAGTATGTGTAATGCCACATTACTGGCATTTCAACTGAGGTGACTTACACTAAAATCTTACTCTTTTTAAACTATCATTGGACATAATAATTTATGCAACAAGAAAAGCAAAAGTTAAAAAATATGAAGAAGTCCTTAGAGATTATGAAAGGTAGACATGGATCAACAAGTTTTAAAAATAAACTTTCTAGTACTTCCTCCTATGTGAGAGGTTTACCCAAGTCATAAATTCCAGGAACCTATTTATATTGCATTAGTGTGATTTATTCAAAATCATATTAATCTACTACAAATAATACTTTTCACGTAAAAAACAATGCAGACTGGTAGTGGCTAAGAATAAGGATGTTCAAAAAACTGTACTTTGAGAGTCAAGAAAAGTATAAGCTAGGACTAACATAAAACTGTCTAGACAAACAAAGAAAAATCTATTCTAAAACATTTTTAGAATAGATTCTAAAAAATGCTTTTGCGTTTTCAATGCACATGAAAATGTATAACAAACACTGTGTTTGTGTATTATATTGAAAAATAAATTGTCAGACACTTCTAAATTAGCAGATTAAAATTATATATACTTCTTTTAGAGTGTGAAATTGTTTGTCCTTAAACAAAAAGTGATTGGGCCCAAACATTCTCATTCTGTCCAACTAGAAATGAGAAATACAGTAAGTCAAATGAGATTTAAAAAATAGCTAATGCCAGCCGGGCACAGTGGCTCATACCTGTAATCCCAGCACTTTGGGAGGCCGAAGCAGGCAGATCACTTGAGGCCAGGAGTTTGGAACCAGCCTGGCCAACATGGTGAAACTCTGTCTCTACTAAAAATACAAAAAGTTAGTCAGGCATGGTAACGTGTGCCTGTAATCCCAGCTACTGCAGAGGCTGAGGCAGGATAATCTCTTGAACCCAGAAGTGGAGGTTTCAGTGAGCTGAGAACACGCCACTGCATCTGCCTTCCTGCGCAACAGAGCCAGACTTCATCTCAAAACAACAACAAAAAGAAAAGAAAAAACCTAAGGCCTATTCTCCCCAAAAGAGAATGTTATACACCCTTTATTGCAGAGCATTTCATTTTTTTGATTGCTTGTGCAGAGAAAAGGTTTATGAGGTAATTACATATGGTTTTAAAAAGGATTCCTTTTAATTTTATATCTATACTTCTCTTTAAAAAAAACTTCAGCAGATGACTAATTAAATCAATGTCATGATTTATACATCCTTACTTCAGAGATTCAGCTGACCTTATGAATAAAACAAACTAATACTACATTTCAAAACAACATTCCAAAAAAAATTAAAAAATAAACAGTGATGCTTTAAATTTAGCACTGTTTTTATAAGGAACGGAAGCATATTATGCCATATCGTCTATAAATATTTACTGAATAAACATGGTTCACCTGATGTTTTTAAAACCTTGTAAGCTGATTAAATCACAAACATGTTGAAGAGGTCTTAAGAAAAAATGATTAGGCTTTTAAATAGTTATAAATTATGACAGAAGTAACCTTTTCCATATCTTTTTAGGGTTAAAAAACAACAAAAATTAAAAAACAGTATTATTCTTTTCGGCCTTAATATTTTGAAGAGTAATATATTAGGATATACTGTATCTATTAACATGAAAATACTTAACATTGAAAATTTCACTTTGAAAGCTTAAAAGTGATTTTTATAAACATCACAATAAATGATAATTTAAATTCTGAATATGGGAACAAAAAACCTCTAAAGCTGAACCCAACAAATCTGCATGTAATGCTTTCAAGTAAAATGTAAATTTCCAAAACAAGCAAGATACATAACCATCAGATTTAGCTGTCACAATAAATTATTTATCACGGATACTAAGTAATGTGTCCTGAACTCCCTTTTGTCCTTGAAAGTCATAATATTTCTGGGACTCATTCATTATCTGAATGTAGTCACTCAAAAACAAAATTAAAAGAGTTGGTCTATATGCCCTTAGATATTCTGTGTCCAACTTTACCTGTATAAAGTTTTAAGGCATTAAAGTGGTATGTTAAAACAACAAATTATTTATAATAAAAATAGATCAAAACTCTCCTTTAAAAATATCTCAACTGAGAAAATCACAGAAGAGAGTAAGAATCGTATTTACCACTGATGTACTCCTTAAAGCTTCTACAGTGATGAAAAGACTTTTTTTTTGGCTTATAACAGACTTCGCCTTGAATAGATACAAATGTGGATTGGAGCTTAAGTTCTGCCTAAAGTTACTGCGAAATTTGCACATTCGATTGTGCTGGCTGCTATTAATAAAGGTAGAAAAAGTTAAAATATCTGGTATTATTATCAGTATTCACTGCAAATTATCTTATAGTATTCTCTACTGTAGTGTGGACTTCAGTCTTGTGCCAAATAGCAGCATAGATTACAGTATCATGATTCCAATGATGATCAACAACTCAGCTAGTATTGGCCAGAGCAAAGGAATCTGTTTATAATAAAAAAAGTAAGTAAGAAGCATAGCTTTATTTTAATATCAGTTGTTAGAAATGAGCAAAGGGCATCTTGGTATCCAGAGGCAGAAGTGAAGTTTTCTTTCATTAAATTACAGTGATAGGATGGGGACAGCAGGTGATGGCAATGGGATGCTAGCTACCTGGCTGGTTAAAATACATACCTGAGCTCTACTGGAGCTATGCAACCTTGCTGGGTGTCAGTTATTTGTAAAGGCTGACTGAACAAAACTGCCTTCATCATGCAAGCACTGCTGTCTGCACTACAGTAATAAAGAAACACGCTGATAGATACAATGGCTTCAAGTGATAAACAATCCTTAGGAATCTGTAGTGAAACTGTTGGTTGATTGGAAATGTTCTCTATATCTCCCGATGGTATCTGTCCTTGAAGAAGCCATTCATTGCCTAAAAATTAAAAAAGAAATTATTAAGACTGTATAAGATAAGGAGAAAACTGGGAATATCTTATGAAGACTAGATTAATTCAATCAACAAATATTTATTAAAGATTTCTAAGTGCCAGGCATTGTGCTCTGTGGGAAGGACATAAATATAAATAATATACACTAACCACTTGTTAGAAGTTCCCAGTTTGATGATTATATCTAATTATTATAGTTCTTCCTTTGTTTGGATACTATAAAGTAAATTACACATTTATTCCTATTAAAATCAAGCTGAATATTGCAAATATGGATATAAAGCCTTAATCTCTAAAGTTAAAAATGAAACCTATTAAGTTTTAGAAATAAACATATGACATTGAGAAAATGCATCATTTTTACCAAACAGATAAAAGTCTTCAGGGATATATAAACTACAAAATAAAATTTTATCTAGGAAATGCAAATGTATCTGCAACTCTGTAGTGACTTTATATTTAATAATGAATTACTGAATACCTAAAAGTAATTTAAACACAAACACACACAAAACTTATTTCTTTAGAAACTGATACCATTGCATATCTATCGTTGGTGGGCTTACACAATGTAAAAACCAAGAGATTCTGTATATCTCATTTTAACATGTAAAACTCTTTCTCGACATAAATATACAGATTATCTATAACAAAAATTGAATAAGCTACTAACAAATTTTAAGTCCTCAAGAATGAAAATCATCTGTAAATGTCTTTATTTATCTGAACTTCTCTTAGAAGGAACACATGTGTCATACTGGGGAAGCAGAGACACATACAGACATTCAGCCTAAGAGGGTGGCAGCCTTCAAGAGCCAGCATTTGAGAAATATATGAAATGCTTTCCCGCCATGTAAATGGAGAACACTGAACATTTGGTTCTAATGACTAATCAATGACTCAGGGGATCTGTACAAAAACTGGACCATCTACTGAGTGTGATGAAATGCTGTCTACTTTTCATCTTTTCTATCTCTTTCTTTTGTTCTCAGGATGAGTCAGCTAACTCAGAGTACCTGCCTTTATCAGTCCTCTTGAGGTGTCTTTTAGTTTATTGCTTTAGGTTATTGAAAAGTCAAATTTGAGAAAAATATGTCAAATAAGAGTAAGAAAGAGAAAAATAAGAATCTAGAGAGATAACTACAAAACTTTTATGCTGAAGCTTTTAAACAGTTCTTTTAATATTCTTTGGCTTTCTTTGCTTATTCCTGGACTGGAGGGTACCTTCTATCTAATGCATGATTTTGCTAGAGAGATTAGAAGAGAACTTCTTATATTTTAAATCAAACAAAGAAAACAATACTGAGCTATTTTAATGTCCAAATCTAGAAATAAAACAGAAAACGTTTCTTTATTTTTTACATATATGACACACACAATCTGTGAAGTTACAATACAGGTGGTATTTTAATGCTGTCTTTTTTTTTTTCTTAAAACTTGCATATGGTCTAACTTCCTTAAGATTATACAGACCAAAATTCGGCAAAAAGTAAATGTTTGCTTCTAAATAACAAATCAAAAAAGAAAATGTCCTTTAAACATAAGTGTACAAATGTACTCTGTAATATTCAAAAACTTCAAATTGTTAGTATTACTGCCTGAAAATGATCTGCTTCTATATAATAAAAATGCAGCCAATATCTTGGACAAATGATAAAACAGCTAAGTATTTTCTCTATAGACTACCTCATTTGAATACTACCTGTATTTTACATCCCAATGATTCAATATTAATTAGTGTGTCTGATAATACAGAGATAAGCACGTTAATTTGTCAATATGCTATTTTAAAAATCAATACACGGCTCCTACAATGACACCATTTAATATACTGCTTTTACAGTGACTGCTCTTACAATACCACCCAGAAAAATTAAATTAACGATCATCTCCAACTGATGTAATACTTCCAGACCTAAATTGGCAGTCTAGGACTTGCACAAACCTACAGAAGGCGATGGACTGGCTAGGGTTTGAGTATTCTTCTGTCTAAAGTAAGCTCCAAAGGTCCTAGTAATACATGGTCAGCCTTCTCCCTTGTGGGGAGTGACAAGGAAATGGTTTCCCTACAGACTCAATCACCCTAGAACCAGCCTCCCAAACACTAACCAGCAGTTCCTCCCAGCTAGTCTACCAAGATATTGTTATCCTCTTGGTTTAGACACTAAGTTGATAATTATAATTGCAGGTCAGTAGCTGCTGCCCTGAGAAAGTTGAAGGTAAGAAGGTGTGAATTACCCAGGATCTGGGTAATGTACAAAAGAAAAGTGTGTGAGAGGGTATGAAGGAGGAGGAGTAGGGGAGGAAATGGAAAATTGAGTGAGAAAGTGAAAGAGCGTGGGAGACCAGGACAGAGGAACCTCATTAGAGACAAGTTGTACTTCAGAAGTTCTGAACCTCTAAAATTTCACTTTAAAATTTTTGCCCACCAGGTTACAGAAGGTGGAAAGCACTACTGCAAGGCAAGTAGTATACTAATTCCTTACCATAGATTAATGAAATAAGTAGCTGGTTCACACTGTGATTCACACATAGAAGAAAGGGAGGAATGTGTAACAGTGACTGAAAGGAAGAGTTACAGAAAAAGATGTTAAATAAAGAGGTTCCTCTGCATTTCTCTATTTCAGACTTTTTTTTTTTTGAGATGGAGTCTCGCTCTTGTCGCCTAGGCTGGAGTGCAATGGCACGATGTTGGCTCACTGCAACCTCCACCTACCAGGGTTCAAGTAATTTTCGTGCCTCACGCCTGGGATCACAGGCACCCACCACCACTGGCTAACATTTTGTATTTTTAGAGAGACAGGGTTTCACCATGTTGGTCAGGCTGGTCTCGAACTCCTGACCTCAGGTAATCCACCCACCTCAACCTCCCAAAGTGCTGGGATTGTAGGTGTAAACCACTACAGCCAGCCTCTATTTCAGACTTTTTAAATCTAAGATTTTTTTTGGGAACAAGAATAGAATGAAAAACAGGATCAGAATAAGGGATGAGGTATAGGAAATCCCATATTCTAAGAAATCATACAAACAACTGACTTTTAACTTTTAGAGAGTTACACTGTTTTTTAATAAAAGGGAGGAAAGACTCTTGAAGACTAAAGCAAACTGCCAATGTGGGGTTGGATTTGGATTCATTTGTTCATATTAACTCCTTCAAATCTTGCCCATACAGAGTGAAAATATCACCTAACAAATGAAAAATAACTAGATTAAACATCAAGAATGTATGATGCATTAGTATTTGCAAGCTTATACTCATACCTTCAGCTGTTAGAAACCAGCAACTGGGTACTCCTTCAGTTAGCTTTGATCCTGATGGGAGATCTAATCTGAGTTTGAACTGAAGAGTTTGGCCAGCACACGCAGTCATGGGGGAAAGTCTAATGTTTGGAGCAGATTTAGGTAATTTGGGTAGTGTCTTCTGTTTTTCTACTAGAAATGGGCCATCTACCACAACATTTTCGGATCTGAAGATGGGAAGCTAGGAAATAAGAAAGTCTGTTATTAAAACCTAAGAACTTTATAGTAATTACAGAATGAGCATACTTTAAAACTTTAGTAGAATAATGAAATTCTGTATCAGTGAAACTATTTTCCATTCTAGGTTGAATTAGAATGTGTTAGTTAGATACTCTCAAGATTATTTTTGTAGATACAGAAAAAGTTCATCTTAGCAAAGACAACAACAAAACCCAAGACTTATGAATGAGGCAAAATTAAAGTAACCGTCCACTGTTTATAGATAGCAGGAAATTAAAGGAAAAGCTTATAAATTTAAACACAGATCTACATTCTCTTATAATTTTCATTGCCAACTGTAAGAAGATGTTATTCATCTTACATCAGAGATCTGTGTGAAGAGAAATGCCACTTACATTGCAATAGTAATCTATGTAATCTGTTTTTTGTGTTTTTTTTGGTTTTGTCTTTTTTTTTCTTTGAGACAAGAGTTTCGCTCTTGTTGCACAAGCTGGAGTGCAATGGTGTGATCTTGGCTCACTGCAACCTCTGCCTCCCAGGTTTAAGTGATTCTCTTGCCTGAGCCTCCTGAGTACTGGGATTACAGGCACACACCACCACGCCTGGCTAGTTTTTTGTATTTTTAGTAGAAATGGGATTTCACCATGTTAACCAGGCTGGTTTTGAACTCCTGAAATGAACTCAGGCCCACCTCGGCCTCCCAAAGTGCTGGGATTATAGGCATGAGCCACCACTCCTGGCCCTGTGTTTTTTATTTTAAAAATATACTGTGCAAATTACCACACTTTCGGGAAAAAACTTTTTTTTTTTCAAGTAAATGTCATACAACAAGAGTTAGTTTATAATAGATATTTCTCCTTGAAAATTCTGTAACAAACCATGTTCATATCTTTAAAAGTTGACTACAACTCACTGAATGAAGTTTCTCCCACAATCTTATTTTCAATGTCTTGAGAAATGCGGTTTCTAAAGTTTTTGTTAGAAGGTATTTGGTAATGGACTCATCATAGGGAAACAAAGATTACACGTCAATCTAAAGATCACTGAAAAAAAAAAGCTGAATAACCTAACCCACAGAGCAGGTGTAGGTAGTATGTGTCAGTATGCCTGTACACTTAAAAACAGATCCGAGTCCTCTCTTTTTTTTTTTCTTGGAGGTTCATCAGATTCTCTCCAATTTCCAGTATTTTTCTCAAACTCTCAGCACAGATGGAACTTTTATTTTAAGACTAGGAGGATATCCTTAAAGCAGTCCTGCTGGTCTCTTAGTCAAAAAACACAACAGAAGCATCCACTTACTACTCTCCTGGAGATGGCCTAACCAAAAATGCCTCTGTCAGTTCTGTGAGGATCTAAGTATCATTCTTAAAATGACATCCTTTAACTTACATTTTAAAATTACTTACCACAGATACCATTTTTGTTTCTAAATCCATTACTTTAATTTGATGATTGTTGGTGTCTGCTACATACAATAATTGTCCATTCTCTCCAATACACAAGCCTCCTGGTTCGTTAAAAGTTGACTCGGTAAAACTGGAACTGGTAACATTATTTGTGTCTCCAGTTCCTGCTAATGTTGTACAGTGTTTTGTTTTTGGATCCACAACTTTAATCTAAAAAAGAAAGAACAAAAATGTATATATCTGAAGATCAAGCTCATGTTTGTAGTATGGAAGGGTATAGTATCAAGCAAGCTAGATAATTTGATTGCCATTTATATTCTCAAGAAATCTCACAAAAGGAACAGGTATTTCCATATTTTCTTGAAAAGCCAAACGTTCAAATTACAGTCTAAGGGGAGATATTCTACTCTAAGAACTAAAAACAACATAAATTTCCTATCTATAGCTTGCCTTCTAGAAGCAATCTTTCATGAAATTATTTCTGGAATTTAAAAAAATTTTTTAATTGAATTGTTTTTCTTCGAAATGGGACACACTTTCAAAACTGAACTGACTCTGTCTTCTTAAGCATCTAGCATTAGATTTGCTACTTTTGTTAAACTTAATGATTTCCAGTTATGGCTCAATTATATTAAATTTATGGTCTCACATCATGAAGTACTGCATGAATATTTATTATCCACTGACTTCTGTAAAAAGTAAAAATGCAATAAAACAAAACAATTTAATAGACAAAAATGGAAGTGCTGCTAAAAACAAAATTATTTACTAACAGGCATTGTAACTATGCAATATCTCAAAAGCGTTCATTTGTTAATTGACATATTAATTTCCCTGCTACTTGTCTTATCCTGATATACTGAATATGTTACTAAGCAGCTTTGATGGGCTGCAATTCACAGCTGTTGGCCATTACCATTGGAACTGGTTTAGTGCTTTTCCTAGTTCAGAACACCATCATAACCTCGTGGCAAAAAAGGACCAAGAAAAGAACAGAACAAGCTGGGATACAGTTGTCAAAGACTGTTATTCCTGTCTATATTTTAGAGTGGCACTTGTAGGAGGCTCACAGATCTTTCAGCATTTTAAATGCCACATACAAAAAGCAAGATATTATATAATTCTGTCACGACTCACCTTGTGATTGTAGGAGTCTGCCACATAAAGTAAATTTCTTTTCTTGTCCCATGTTACTCCAAGGGGGTGTTGAAGCTTTGCATTGATTCCTACTCCATCAACATCACCAAAAGCAAATAAATTCTTTAATTTTTTAAAAGGAAAGAAACAGCAGTTATTATAATTTTTACAGTATTTTGTTAGGATACAAAGTGAAAATTCAGATAGTTATAAATGATATTCAAGTTAAAAGGGAAAATGCTGATTTTAATATAAATAGTGTTGGATACTTGATTCAGATTAGAAAAAAATGATAGTATCTTGAACCTGTATTAATCTGTGGTGCTTAGTAGTTTTACTCACAATAGTACATCTAGTCAGGAACAGGTCAAGTCCACTAGCCTAGTGCTCTTTCCACCCCACTGCCCAATATGTAATTTACATTTTTTTCTTTTCTCCAATAATCAATACTTCATCTTTTCTTTCTCCCTGAAACCTTAACATTTATACATAATAGAGTCAGTTTACTTCTCTTAGATGGTGTGTTCCTCATGTTGCTTTATATTCACATTTCCTTTGGTTTGACTTTCATTTCAATTCACAGATAGGCCAAGGATAATCTCTCTTAAATCTTATTAACTTTCTATAATTCACAAAATTGACAGCTTGCTCAGTGTCTGAGCGCACTGGGCAAGAGTGACTGTCATTACCATGGGGTCCCTTTCTCCTCCCACGAGGTGCTTCACTGCTCCATCTTTCAGCGAAATGGTTCTCACTGTACTGCTCTCGCTATCTGCTACAAACAGGCAGCTCCAGGGATCTTCAGAGGCCAGGGAAAGGCCTGAAGGTTGAGCAAAAGCTGCCTTGTGAGGATAGGCATTGTTTCGATTCTCTTCATTTCCACTTCCAGCAAATCTAAGGCAGGTTCCTTTTGTTAACTCGCTGAAAAAGACAAGTTCATAGGTGGGGTCAACATGTGGTATATTGTGTTCAAATTAGTTATTAAATAAATGAACTTAAATGATCGAATCAATAGTGATAAGCCTTGTAAAAACACAAACTGGTGATCTTGGCCTAGTTAAATTGTTCAAGTCAGCTTTTACTGTCATTTTGCCAATCAACTTATTTACCCATTGTGTAGGAAACTTTTCACTTTACTTTGACATACACAAAACTGAAATCACTTTCAAAGGTCAAACGAGAAATCCCTGACAGAGTTAGAATTATAAGATAAAAATAATGATCAGATTATTGATGAGATAGACTGTGTTTTTACCATTGTAAGTTCTTAACTTCTTAGTTTCATGCAATATTAGGTTCTGAAAGGGAACTAAAAAGATTATCTAGCTCTTGATAGTTTCAAGCCTCAGTTTTCATTGAAAGTGTTTTGTGTTCTTGTATATAAACAGAGACTAGAAAAAGGAATTAAAGAATAGTTTTAGATAGCCAGGTCAGACATTACTATTATAGGAAAAATGATAAAAATGTACATAATTATCTTACAATTACATGGTACAATTATGTACAATTAAATCAATTATAGAAATCAATTTCTTATATACATTAGGAAAATTTTTATTTAAGGAACTACTGCAGTGATTCCTTTTGTAACGCAGAGAAAGTTTTAGACCCTGGTTTCTAAATTTATGACAGAGGGATTGTAAGGAAGACATGATAGTGTGTTGTGTTGAGGGAAGGGAAGCAGCTGACTTATGACACAAAATGAGAGTATGTGTAAATCATTTCTGAATATGGTACAACATGCAAAAGTCTGAACTAACAATCACTTTCTGGCTGATATGCTCCCATGATAAGTTAGGTAGGGGGCAGGGGACAGAGGCAAAGGGATTTAGGATGCATAAAATATGGCCACTTATTCAAGAAACGTATAAACATAAACTAGCCAGTAAAATACATGCAATCAGTAATATGCAAAACAAATTAATTGAAAGGAGTCTACAAGTAGTCTTACTACTTTAAAAACGAGACTCCTTAATTAAATAAAGGAAAGAGTAGGGAGAAACAATTACTTTTAAAATGCTATCATTACTATCTGAAGATTAGTAATAAAGAAAATACATCTTTAAAATTAAAATACAGGTCAACATGATCCTAGTGCCAATTTCCTATTACGAAGGAGAGTGACAACTCGACTTATTAGGAAATGTAGGCAGCTCTTAACCATCTACGTATAAAACAGCCATCACCCAGGACAGCATATTCTGGCAACTTCTGTTCCTTCTGTTTGCTGTTTGTAGTTATGCTTCATGCAAAATCTTATTGGTAACCTCACTGTTCAGGCTACTATCATTTCTTGCCTGGATAACAGCAATAGGCTCCTCAATGGTATCACTGTCTCTAGTCTTGTTCTACTCTGAGTACTGCCAGTGTTCTTTCAAAAACACAAATCTAATCCTGTCACTTCCCAGCTTAAACCTTTCTATAAAGGCTTGTAGAATTTCCAAATCCCTTAAAAGTACTCACAAGGCACAGTGTGATCTGGCTTCTACTAACATCACTAGTGCCAACTCTTGCCTGGAAAACTTCCCACTCTCCCCATCTAACTTCTACCACTCTATCAAGTGTCTGTTGAGTTACCTCTTCCAAGAAGCCCTCCTTGACAGCTCAAATCTTATTGATGTTGGGTCTTCTTCTTACTTATGCAGGAAACAATTACAATTTGCAGTGCTTCCTTTTGCATATACTAATTTTTAATTTTTTTTGCTGATCTGATTCTTCTCTAAGTCCACTGATGATAGCAACCACACCTTTTCACTTTATCCTTAACATAGTGAGCATATTATTTCATCCCTGTTGCCTAGCACATAGGTTTCATAAATATTTGCTAGATAAACTATTAAATGTCTTAACACAGTATATAAATGTGTCCAAAGCAACATGCACAAACATACACAGTATTTGGAATATCTGCTATTTTGAAGTATCTATACAAATGCTGCTATTAAAGGTAACCTGAAATGATCATTTTCCATGGGTATTTGACAGCCTTTCTGGTTAATGACTTTTACTCATTTATTTTCAAACCCTTACTGAGCTCCTCTTAGGTACCAAATACTGTGATAGATACAAGGGATATAAAAATGAATGGGAGAGGGTCCCTTCCTCTATGAGACAGTTTAGCAGAAGGAAGGAAATGGCTAAAAAGAACAATCAAAAAAGAAGAAGAGGGAGAAAGGGGAAGGGCAGTGAGGCAGGGCAGGAAAACTTAGTGCAGTGATGTAACTATATACCAGGTATGGTAGGCACGGTGAGGTCACAGAGACGAGTATGGCCAGTTCTGTCTGGGGTTTAGGGGGAAGAGGAAAGGCTCCAAGGAAAAAATATGAGAAACTTTGCAGACACTACCCTTTCATCCTATATCTTCATGACAGCAAAGCTACCTATGTTTACTGTACATGTTAGGCACTATACCAAGCTCTTCACACATATTATTAATTCTCAAAGCAAGGCTATGAACTAATATAAATAAGAAAACTGAGGATTTGAAAGTTAAAATGGCTCTCCTAAACTCATACAGATAATAAATGGCAGAGCCAGGATTCAATCTCAAGCCTGACTACAAAAAGCGGGTTATTAAGTACTCTGCTATGTGGTACTCAACTATTTGAATGAATGGTTAGAGACAGTTCAGCTATGTCTTAAAAGATAAGGGCCCACCGAATATTCTTAGCTCTCTTTCTGGACATTAAAAAGAATGGTTCTTTGCAGGTTTCCTGAAGTGAAGTGTGGCCATGAGACTTACTCTGGCTGATAAAATGTAAGTAGAAGTGACGTGTGTCACTTCTGAGTAGAAATTTTAAGACTCAGTGAGTGACTTACCACCTCTTTCTCTCTTACTGTGCCAGGATGACTGGCAAAGCTCCCAACAGTGGCTGTTTCATCAGCCTGGGTGGCAGAGTAGTACGCCCCAGTGAACCCATGCAAGTAAGCAAGAAATGCACCTTGTTTTAAGCCACTCAGAATCTGCATTGTATGCTATGGCAGTTTAACCTAGCACATCCTGACTGGTACAGTGAGGACGGTGATTTTGAAAAAAGAAATTCTATGAATGCCAAGCAGTACAGTCTACTCAAAGAGAGGCTGTCACTTACTTTTTCTTAGGCAGTTTCCCAGAATCCAGTAGGAGTGCCCATATCTGATGAGTCCCTGCCATGGCTATCCACAGAATGTCATCTCTTTGGACTTCTGGACCTTTATAAAAATAAATCATAATTATTATATACATATCTGGTTAATATAAACACTCCAATGGTTTTAAAATGTTAATTTATGGAAGATAACAATATGTTTATGAATCATCTGATAAATAAAAATATTTGCAATGTTTCAAGTTATCTTTAAAAATTTTGTTTTCTTGTGAAAGGTTTACTTTTTAAGATATCCCATTTTACCTGCAACAATTTCACAGGAATCCAAAGTATTCTGACTAGCAATATATCCTCTGCATCTCTGCATCTGAAGTCTGCCTCAGCAGTTTGTTAATTTTACAGTGAGCATTAACAATGTTTTTAAACATCTGATTTCTTATTTTACATGATATAAACTATATTACAAGTGACAATGGCATGCACATATTCTGGAGACTGTCTCTGCTTAATCACCTTAAACTATATCAAAAGCTTTCCATAATTAATTTTTAGCATACCATAATGTTTCAGTTATTCTAGAGCCATAACCTGGGACTACTAAAATGAACAGGAAATCTAAGCTAATAAAATGTTCTGTTATTTTAGATATACTAACATTCAAATAAAAAGGTTCAAAGCATGTGATGTACTTAGAGTAATGCTTGGAGGTAACATCACTCAAATGTTAGCCACAATCATTATTTAGTGAATCTGGACCTTAATTTTATAGTATTTGTACTAGGAAAATATAAATACATTTACAAACTGAACAGTCTTTCAACAGACACCAAAGAGGGTAAAAAGTATAACACAATCTCTTCCACTTAAGAAGGCTGTTAATTTTACAGTGAGTACTGACAATGCACATATTACCAACAGTTATTTGGTAACTAAGAAAGCGCTCAGTTTATAATTGTTTGTTTTATTAAATCTACCATAAATCTAAGACAATACACTTTTTAGTATTAAACAATGAAAATGATTGAGTCTTATGTTTCTGCATAGTCAATGGTATCATCAACCATGGAAATGACCAAACAAAACGAAAAGATTAGTAGGTAATAGAAACAAAAACACAGAAAGCTCACAAAAATGAATAATCTTATTCATTGTAACTTATTTTGGAATGTTTTCCATTCACAGGATTTCAAAGCCTTTATTGGTTCAAATATTTTTTAAATGCTACACAAAAAAATGTAAATGATTGTTTTCTAGTCCTCTACCCAGTTCTTTCATTTCTTTGAATGAAATAAAGTTATCCTTATGGTACTGTGACAGATCACTAAAAGAAGAGGGCTCCTGAAAGGATTCCTTCACCTTCCTTAGCTTTGGAACCAGGTGGGTCTGGATTTGAATGGTAAATGCATCACTATGTGATGTGTGTGCCTCAATTTCCTTATCTGTAAAATAAGCACATCATCACTCTCTACATAAGATTACTGGAATGAATAAAACAATGTAAGCAAAGTACCTAACATGGCGCCAGGCATCATGTTAGGTGCTAAACAATTTGCTGTCTTTCAACTTTTATACCTAGTGTGCTCCCTCTTTCCTCTTCCTAGAAAGTTTACCTCCAGATATGAATATTCATTCAGATCTCTGCTCAAGTTTCTTCCCTGCTCCCCCTAATAAACACACACACACACACACACACACACACACACACACAAACACACACAGACACACACCCATCATGCTTAGCTCCTTACCTTGTCTATTTTTCACTGTAGCATTTATCACTCTTACATGTTACATATTTATTAATTTACTGCCTTTCCCCTCTATTGACCATAAGGTCTAAGAGGCCAGCAGCTTTGTTTTATTCACAGTTTTATTAGCAGCACATAGAATAGTGCCTGGCACAAGGCAAATGCTCAGTAGGTATTTGTTTAATGGGTAAACTTTCCCTTAGAAGCCACAAAAAAGAAAAAAGGTCCTTTATTTTGTCATTATACATATAAGCCCTAAAACTATCCTAATGATGGTTGGTATTCCCTAATAGTACTAATGATTCATCTCTAATCAAAAAAGTCTGCTATAGATGTAAACCTGTGCTATTATCCTTTCAAACACTGATGCTGAATGGGAGTGGCAGCCCACCCTAAAAAATGCTTTGGATATTTGATGGGTAGTATATTGTATGATGATATAGTTATGCCAGATCATTTACATAATGATTATACTATTTTATTATAAATTATACTTATTTATTCTTTATATTTATTATATATATATATATATATATATCTCAATCACAAGTGGATTCCATTACCTATGAATTTCACTTTAGATATGGTAAAGGAGGCATTTCATAAAATTTATTATAGGAAGGGGATGTGGGATCTGATAGGGCTGAGAACTCTGAAGCCATGCATAACAACAAAGCCTTTCAACATGTCTAAAAAGCTTCCATTCATGATAAATACTCTTAGGAAACTAGGATCAGAAGGCATTTTATTTAATCTTATAAATAACATTTTTAAGAGAGTCATAGCAAACATCCTATTTAAGAATGAAATATAGCAAATACTCCCTGAGAATAAAAATGAGAAGTGTTGATACCTACTATCAACACTTCTATTTAACACCTTATGGAGGTCCTAGTTTGTTCAACAAAGAAGGAAAAAGAAGAGTACGAAAAGATTAGAAATAAAACTAGTTATTAGCAGATGACAGAATTATGTACACAGAAAATCTTTACAATTTTATAGAGGAATTTAGCAATGTAATTTAGTATAGTCAGTAAGCAAGGATAAATTATTTTATTGGTTTACAGCAGCAAACAAATATAAAAGAAAATTTATAACGACATTAAAAAACATCAGACACCTAAGGGTAAATCTAACAAAAGATTTATAAGCCTTCTACACTGAGAATTGTTATTGAGGGAAATAAACACAGATATTTTTATACAACTTATCTTCATTGAAAAGTCAGCTCTGGCCAATGTTAGATCCTTGTAGGTAACAAGACTGCAAGGTTGACCAAGTAAATGAAAATCCTTTCAGCTTCTCAAATCACAAGCCTTGGAGTCATCCTTAATTCCTCCTTTCTTTCACATGTCACACATGATGATCCATCAGCAAATTATGTAGGCTTCTTATTCCAAATATATCCAAAATCTGACCACTTCTCACCACCTCCACCTTGACCTAAGCCGCCATCAGGGATTACTGCAAGAATTCCTTCTGAACTGGTTTGTCATCTTGTTCCCACCTTGAAAACTGCCTCTTTCTCATTCACTTCAATGTCCCACTCTGAGAAAATCTCAGAAGGGTGAGGTAAGCAAATTTAGCTCTAAGCCTTAGGAACAAAAACACTTGCTTTTCTTAGCTTGCTTTTAGAGCCTCTGTCTTGGCAAAGGAGAGCTATGTTGGTGTATAGCTGAGTAAAAGATCAAATTTAGCTCCATTATCTAGTTCTCCAGACAGGTTGGTCTAGCTCAGCTGAGGCTTACAACAAGAAGGCAAAAGCTTCCCAGTGACAGAGAAAGTGTGTGCATTGGTTTAGTTTTGGTCTCTGTGTACTTATTTCCTTCAGATGCCCGGGGAATGAGAAATAGAGAAGCAGCGGCTGTGTCTGGTCAGGGTTTAGGTGTTTGGAAATCTACATACCAACTTCTCAGGATGATGATAATCACCATCCAGGTCACTTTCTGTATGATGGCAGTGAGCTAATCACTTTACATGGATTATTTCCTTTAATTTAACAACCTTAAGAAGTCTTATCTTCATCTTCATTTTATAAAAAACCAGCTTCAAAGAGGCTAAATAATTTGCTGAAATTCACACAGCTTAACTGGGAAAACGAATTCATTAGTGAATCTGACTCCAGATAATTAGTGTTCTGGTAAGAATAAAAGAACTATGGAAGTGAGCTTGTGCTCTTTGGTTCAGTTCTCTTGCTTGCCCCCTTTTCGCCCTCCCCTCTGCCTCTGACCCATGGACTTAGCTCTGGTATCAAGTACTCAAGTGCATTTCTGTCTGTGACTAGAAACCGGGATCTGATTAAATGTACCCACAGCCTTCTACTCCAAGATGCATAGCGAGGTTTATCCCTCTGCCCTTCTCTCCCTGGCAAAGGTCTATGGTTGAATAATCTCTTTAACGTTTATTTTCTAGTCCCTTGCCTTACCATTTTTGGTTTGCTTCAGATCATCAGCATCTGTTTGTGATGCTTTATAACAAAATTCTTATCTTATAGAAAACAATGATAATAGCAAACATGTATACTATGCTTTCTATGCACCAGGCACTGTTCTAAGTGCTTTACATATATTAATTCTCATCCTCATGATAAGCCTTTCAGGTACGTACCAGTTGTATCCTCAATTTAGGTGGGGAAACTGAGGTACAAAGAGGCTATGAAAGTTTTCCCAAGTCACACAACTATTAAGATGGAGAGAGGGAACCACCGTGTGGCTTCATTGTACAGGGATGACCAAAAGCTGAGGGTAGAGCACTAAAAAACTCTCCAGCTAATCCAGGCCCCTGTGCTGAGGCAAAATCAGAAGGCAACAGCTGCCCAGCTAGAGGGATTTGAAAGACATGGTGCACTGACCTGGGAATAATAAAATGAAGGCCCAGCTTAGCTCCTGACCAAACTGACTCAATATTTCATAACGATAACATAAGTACTATTTATCTCAGCCTTTATTGTTTTATACAAGATGACTGACATATAATAAATAATGAGAAGACACACATAAAAGAAAAAAAATTACCCACTTTTAAATAACAAAGGAATGATCAGAAACAGACTCGAGGATAGTCCCCAAATTTGGACCTATCAAACACAGACTTTGAAATAACTATGCACAGTATGTTAAAGAACCTAGAGAAAAAGGTGGCCAAGACATCTAAATAGATACGGAATTTCAGCAGAAATAAATCTATAAGAAATGCAAATACTATATTAAAAAGGCACAATATTAGAGATGAAAAATTCCTTCAACAAATGATATGGTTTGGCCATGTACCCACCCAAATCTCATCCCAAACTGTAATCTGAATTGTAATCCCCACATGTCAAGGGAGGGACCTGATGGGAGAACTAGATTAATCT